AATAAAAATTCTGTATATTTCGATAGATTCCAAATTCAAATTCAAACACCTGATTCGACGTATTTTTACAGCGCCGCGTTCCACATTTGAATTTTAAATTCTTACACGGTTTCAAAATTTGAATTGCTTAGAAAAAAGTTTATTGATTTCTGCCCCACTTTCTTTTTTAGCAAAGGATTGATTTTTTTTCAGTCTCGTATCCCATTGCGATGTTTTTAAATGTCCGTTAACCTTTACAATGAGTAGCGGTTTGAGCGGACGAGAGCGAACTTCCCGCCTATTGAATTTTCGCCTACAAAAGGAAAGTTTTCAGGAAACGTTCCGGGTTACCGGCTGCCATCTCGTTTTATATTTAAGTGTAACTTTGACGAAATTGTTCTACGCGAACACCATATTCAATTTAAGTTTTCGAAGCTTCAATAAGTCCTTTCCACGTGATTTTTTCGGTTTGGCTATTTAATATTTTTTATTGTAAATTCGCTACAGTTCCGAACGCTTGAGTTTTCATTTTTTTAATAAATAAAAGGGGAATGAGTCAGGCCACTTTACTTTTAAAATTAAATTAATAAATAATGTTTAAAAAAGGAACTGGCCACCACGAAAAGCGTTCGAAACTAATTAAAAACATCAATTCCGCGCGGGCACGCTACGGGGGAATATTTCAAACGCACACACACTCACACACCACCCTCGTGCACACACCACCACGTGACGCACACAACAGTTAAAAATAAGACTCGGGCCATATCCGCGTGAGAGAATGGTCTCACTATTCCTGAAGGCCAAAACACCGTATCTAACCTAGAAAAGGTCAAAGGAAAAAAGTTATTTTGCAGTGGAAAATTTTGCACATCGCGTGACTTTTGCTAATATCTTCGTCGATTAAGCTGTGACGTCAGCTAGTTAGAATGATAAAATTAAATCTCAAACTGTTTTAATAAAATATTGTGGACTGTAATTTAAGATTATGGTCGCGTTTTGCTTAGAAAACAACACAGAGCAAAACATAAATTTTAAACTTAATTTTGTACCACGTGACCGTCACATTAACAGTTACTGTAATTTTAGCTTTAGTTAGTAGTAGTTTAAACTAGTTTTCACCGCACTCAAATTTCAGTGCATGGTTCAAGGAAAACTGCAGATAACCGGTTTTGTGAGTGAACAGTTGCCCAGTTCTAGAACTTATCCGGGGGGAGACGGGGATAGCCGGGTGTCTTAAGGCGGAGCGGGACGGAGCGCTGAAACCGAGTTATCGTAAATTGATCTGCGGCGGGTGGCGCCGGGGTGGCGACGTGGTTCCAAATTTGACAGCGATGGAAATTGGCGGGAAAGATTATTGCTATGCCCACCGTACTACGTTTTTTTATTAAATTTTGAATTCCGAATCACCCAACATTCGTGCTACTGTGATTACCAACTAAAATTTGAAATTCGCTCCTAAATTTGAATTTTAAAACGAGTTTTTAAAATTTAGTTTCGAATTTAGAACTTCAATTTGTACTGACGAAATGAGGCGATCCTGTTACCGTATCTAGGTTATGTAGACGAGCTACTTGTAGGGAGAATGTCATTTATTTTCGCAAAGTTGTGAACATTCTCATTAGTTCGGATAGTATACGATGCAGTGAAAGATATGAATAGTTCTACGAAAAACTCTCCTTTGTATCTTAGATACTCGCTCACGCTCAAACGGGTCTCATAAAACCGTGCACACACCAACATCTTAATAACAGAATCCGAACGCCTCGGGCGATTTTAAAATAAGAATATCATAACTGGCCACTGGGGGCCAAGAGGGGGTTGGAGGATTTCGGAAGAACGTTCGCACCCCTTCCAAGTTTTTAAAAATAAGAAAATTTCGGTGGAGCGTGATATTTTTAAAATAAGAACCTCTTTCGCGGCATATTCCGTAGAGATTTTAAAAATAAGAATAGTTTCGTCGGCACCCCCTCGTCTGGAGTTTGAAATAAGAATTCGGGGGCTAGATTCGGGTGGGAGGTACATTCGGTGGGTGTCGGGGTGTTCCTTGATGAGGACGGAGGTTTTTCGTGGAATTTCGTTAGCTCCTTTCTGCAGGTCATTGCCCGGCGGAGTCGATACTCGTTCGATGAATGTTATAGTAATTGGATGGGGTTCGATTTTTATTTTGCGCCGTTAAGAAGCTTCTGCGAGTTTCGATGGCTTGAGTTGATACAGCGCACTCGATAGGAAGTGAGACTTAATGAAATTTGAAGACGACGTCTTTGAAAGCAAATACTGATCAAGTTTTTTTTTAACTTTCAGTGCTATTTAATTTAGATTATTTTTAGTTGTATATATAACTTTTTGAAGGAAATTGAATGAAATAGGGAACTTTTCTGTGCGCTTGTTGCAGATCTTTGATGTCGGTTTTAACGACTTTTTTACGTAATGTTTTATTTGTCTTTCATTGTTCATTTATAAGTGTATAATTATTTCACAATATATTAAGTATCTTTATTAGATCACTGGTAGGACTAATTTGGGCAATAGACGTTTCTATATTGGTTCTGGTCTGGGTGTTCTAAGTAATGCCCCGGAGTTGATTCCATTGCTCTGGTAATCACAGCACAGAATAGTTTGAGACCGGGCAACTCGTGCGTTTGTATGGCACATTATTATTATTATTTTGGATATCAATTTTTGACTCTCGGCTCCCCCATGACATTAAAAGATTAATTTTGAATTTTTAAATGGCAGAGTCACTTGGTACATGAAAAGGCACAGTCGGCCGGGGTCAGGGATTCAGGTTCAAGAACCGGCGAATAGCACGTGTAGTATCGAGCAAGACGGCTCACTGCATTATTATAATGATTATTATACCTTTAAGAAATAAATTCACTATATCATTGTCTTTGAATTGCGTGTCTTGGGTATGCATCGATATTTGGTTTTAGTTTTGATATTTTATACTTTGATATATTATCTGTGCTGACGGTAAGTTGATAATTGTAAATTTGATATTTTGTTCTATATTTTCTTTACTTTGCTTTTAAAAAGCTTATGTATATTTAAAATTCGAACGCTTACGATTTTAGCCTGATTAAACTGTACCTGTATCTACACGTACACGTATACTTCAGAGTCATGCGTGTACATGCACATATGTATACACGTTTGTTATTGTGTGGAGAAAGGACCGTGTTGGCAGGCGTCCAAAATGTATCCAAGGTCAATGTCGCTGAGCAAACGTCATTCAACGTCAGACACTATCTGGAGAACTGACCAAATACTAACAACAGTATTCTACTTCAGGACAATTTGAATTTAGGCTTTTATGTCACGCCTTCTATATAGGATGTTTACGATTTTTTTTCTCTGTTCTCTGCGATTTTTTTTATGATACCAAGTGCGCCTGGTGTTAAGCGACACGCCTGTCCATAGCAGTTGCAGTGGCACGCAGAGCTTTAAATACCAACGATCTACCTCCGTGGTCGAACGGTTATCATGCTGGACTGCCACGCAGAGGTCTGGGGTTCGCTTCCCGGGCCGTGAGAAATGTTTGCATAGCCTACATTTATTTCTCTTGTGAGTTTGAGTGTAATTTGTAGTTGTCTATGTAAATTTCCATGGCACCCGCGTTACAGGGTTTCACAAGAGCGGAGCTAAGAGTTATTATTAATATTATTTGATGGACACTGCCACAGCGCCCTTCACCCTGAGACACACGTTCAAAAGTACCATGTGCCTGTAATTTCACCAGCGCCCTTACCCTTCAAACCCGAAACGCAGTAATGATCATATTACTGCTTGATGAAGGTGGCAGTACTTCCCTGGACGAACGCTTTCACAAGGAGTTCTGCTGCTAGAGTTACTCCAGTAAGTTGGTCTCGAAGAGTTGTTGGCTTGCCGATGGCGACTTTTTGGAGTACACTTCTTTTTTTATCGTGTCGATTTTTTTTATACAAAAAAATATAAGTGCGTGTTTGACCTCCATCTCACCGGATTGAAAGTGACGATGAGGTCGACGATGGAACATGTACACCTAAATAATACCTATTCACTCTCGTCTTGAAAAGGTCCAAGTTACTTCAGGTTAAGTTAGTTCAGGGAACAACTCTGCAAGCAGGGAATTCCACTCCATAGCCGTTCGCCATATAAACGTGGAAGCGTAACGTTTCGTGCGAATCTTTGGAATATTCACAACATAGGGGTGGTACTCTAGCCTACGCGTAGTCCCCCGGTTATGGAAAGGGGTAGGCGGAATTAAATCATGTAATTCCATCGCACACTCTGCGTGATATTATCCTGTAAAATACCGATAAGCAGGCAACTTTACGGCGGTGTTCAAGGCTTTGCAGTTTCGCCTCCACTAATTCCGAGTCACCTATAAGCCTCTTGCCACGATTGTCAATTAAATCCAAAATGGATACATACACTATAATACTTACCATCGTGGTAAAGAGATTTTTTTATATCATTAATGACGAGATTTGACGATCGGCGTAAGATACTCTGTACACTGTTTTGTATATTATCTCATTTATACACCCACTGATTTGCGTTATGATTGGCGACTTTTCTTAAGCGAGGAGTTAGGCTATAGTCAGCCTCGCTGGCCCACTGCGGTTTGAGGACTTTCTTCTCACTCTTCTTCAACAATTTTTTTTATAATAACAAGTGGCGGGACGAACAATTCGTGCGCCCGACGGTAAGCTACACGCCTGTCCATAACAGTTGCAGTGCCACTCAGAGCTTTAAATAGTAAAGATCTGGAGGCACTGCCACTGCGCTCGACACCCCGAGACATAAGTTGACAAGATCCATGTGTTTGTAATTTTACCAGTACCCTTACCCTTTCAAAACCATGGCAGCAATTCTCTGGACGAACTCTTCCACAAGGAGCTCTATTGCTACTAAAATTCTTTTAATTCCGCACATAAATTCCAAGAAAATCAGAGTTACGGCTTGGGGTTCCAACCCACGTTTTGTATTATATACTTTTCAAATTTATTTATGAGGTAAATGTTTCGTTTCACCAGGCATGCCGGTCGTGTGCCATGGCGGAGTGCTCTTTCGTCCGGTGCCAACAGGAACGTCGCGCTATACGCAAGGAGCTCCAGCGCTGGACCAAAAACATGGTTTACATACTCGGTAAGCTTTTATCTAGCCTAGCTTGAAATTGACAAGTCAGCACCATAGTCTAATAAGACATTATTAGAGATATCGAGAGCAAAGTGATCACTACCCCCCAGTGGGCGATGAAAAGTCCTAGGGTAGCGATAGAGTCCTCGGAAGCAATTGGAAGGAAAAAAAACTTGAATTATCTATATAAAGTACACTACATATATTTAATTATTTTTTCCTTGTGTAAAGTTAATATAAAAAAACGTGTTTTTAGTTATTCTTTATGATGGTGAGCGTTGAAATTTTTTTATCGTGCCTAAGTGGGCGGTGAACCAAAAACTTTGCGAATCTATGATCTAAAGTAACTCCTGTATGATAGAGTCGAGTAAAAAAAATCACAAATAATTATTACTTATATTTCGTTCGACTTATAACTTATATTTCGTTACTCCCGGTTTTTTCGCTGGGGACGGTGACATTCAAAAGTTCTAAAATTATTCCTAGAGTATGCAATCACCGAGGTCGCCCAAATATAGAAAGGTGTTGTAAGAAAAGTTTCTGTAGTCTCTGTCAACTCCATTAGGAGATGACCGTTTTTTATGATAAAATAAGTGCACATTTGACCATCCATCTCACCTGATACAAAATGACAATAAGGTCGACGATGTAGCATGCACACCTAAATAATGCCTGTTGACTCTCGCCTTGAAAACATCCAAGTTAAGAGTAAGTTAAGAGTTCGTCCAGGGAAGCACTGCCACCTTACCTATTTCTGTCGCCAAACAGTAATGTGAGCATTACCTACTGCGTTCTGATTTAGAAGGGTACTGGTGAAATTACAGGCACATGGAACTTGTCAACTTATGTCTCAGGGTGAAGGGTGACCATAACTTCTTAGCGATATAAAGCACTGAATGCAACTGTTATGGATAGGCGGGTCGCTTATCACCAGGCGCATGATTTGTTGGGCCCGTCACTTAGAATTATATAAAAAAGTTATTTTGTTTAGTGAATGCGTACGCAGGCAAGGAATTCCAATCCATAGCCGTTCATCATATATTCAGATAATCGTACCAATTTTTTTGTAGTTTCCAGTTGAGTACCATAGTAGTAACATAAACTCCAGGATAGGTAATCTGGTCTGGGTGTTCTACCAGATCAGTATTAGTTTAGATAATTTCTTAAATAGCTCTCAACGAGATTCGAACACGATACCTTCTTATGAAGCACCCAGGTCGCCATTCTTACACAAATTAATGTAACCTACAAAAATAGTCGCTTAATAAACACGGTAAAGGAACGTAACTTTTAAATTAGGGCAAAAGGTTGATAATGGATTCATTACTTACGCTGAACACAATGGTTCCTAATTCTGCTATCTCGTAAAACTGTTAGTCGCGTTAGTCTATTGTAATACCATAAAGTAAAAAAAAATATAATAAAGTTTGAACATCAGCCAACAAAATAAGTTATGCGTTACTGAAATAAAGTTGCCAGGAATGTTTTTAATTATTAGTCTCTCGTGAGTTTGGGTGTAATTTGTGGTTGTCTATGTACATGTCTATGGCACCCGCGACACAGGGTTTCCCTAGTGCGGGGCTATTTTGAGTGTGTGCGTTATTATTATTATTATTAATTACTAGTAAAAAGATCGAACACTCAGAAAAAATTCTTTCGATCCGACCGGATTCAAACCGACGTCTTCTAGCATACCGTGCAAAACGCTATACCTACTAATTTTTCTACGTGCTTGTTGTCGTGTTTTTGTATTTGGTTTTTCAACGAATTTTTAGCCGTAGTGCCATCTATGAGAAATCTTTGAAAGTATTTCGTCACTCAGTTAGATACCTTTACAGTTACCAGCCCCGGCTAGAGATGTCATTATTCACTGTATTTAATTTTTTTTATTGAATTGATATTCGATTTTTTTTTATGTGAAATTACCCACTGATTTGCTATAATTATTAATACAAAGATCGAACAGTCAGAAAAAACGAAATGTTTTTGTTTCTTTATTTAAAATTTTGGGAACTGTTTCTCTATGATGGATTTTATTGAATATCATATTTTATTACCATAAAATTAATATTTTTTTGTGTAGTACTTCTGGTGTCATTATTGACACAAATATCGAACCCACACAAGGCAAAATTTCTACGGTCCAGGTGGATTCGAACCAGAACCTGTATGCAAGACCGGGGCGTACCGCTCTCCTAACTGAGCTCCGAAACCAATCAACAAATCTCACGATTTTTTTATGGTGCCAAGTGACGGGACGGACAAGTCGAGCGGCTAGTGCTGAGCAACACGCCTGCATAAAACAGTTGCAGTGCCATTCACAAAGATCTAACGGGTTCTTCACTTCACCCGTTACCTTGAGACATAAATTGACAAGTCCCATGTGCAATGTGCCTGTAATTTCACCAGCACCATTACTAATTAATGGGTAAGATGGCAGTACTTCCCTGGACGTACTCTTTGGCAAGGAGCTCTACTGCTTCAAATTCAAATCTGGACGTATTATTAAGTTCTTTTGTGCACTATGTATGAGAAACTCTTCTTTTGTCTACGAATTATTTGTAAATTTTAATTCCATTTTTAAAAAAGGTTTTTAAATTTGTCATTTTTATGTTCTGAAAACTGAAATGTCGAGTTCAATATAAATTTTTCCACCAAAAGTACAACAAACACAATGCTCTTTACGTAAGCAAAACTGCAGAATAACATAAAGGCTTTCCGTTACAAACACTTGGTTTTCGGAATCCTTAAAAACGTTCCGACTTTGCGACAACACCGGGGAGTCTCCGGTTTCGGAACTTGTTTATATTTGTGACGAAACAAGTTTAAACGTACCGTGTTGCAATATTCTCCACTTTATAACAAATAGACGTAACTTTCGAACGAAAAGCTTACTTACGTTGTTCGAGTTTTAAATTCCATATTAGGATGTAAATAAGTTACCTTCGCCAAATTTTTAAAATATGATAGCGCACGTTAGGAGAGACCACCACAATATAAATAAGAAACGGATCTTATTTGAATTAGGAATACACATAATTATTGAATGAAAGAGTGATTTAAATATTCTTTATTTCACATAAATTTAAAGTGGCAATACAAAACAGTAACTTAAGTAAATATTTTTTTGATGCAAAGCGACACGCCTATCCATGACAGTTCCAATGTCACTCAGAACTTTAAATCACAAAGCTGTGAAGGGCACTGCCACTGGGCCACTGAGACTAAGACTAAGTTGATAAGTCTCATGTCCCTGTAATTTCACTAGCACCCTTATCCTTCAAAACCGGAACGCAGTAATGCTCACAACTGCTTGGCGGCAGAAATGGGTAAGGGGACAATACATCCCTGGACACTTTCACATGGAGATCTACTACATACAAAGCAATATAACAAAATATTTGGCTTGATACAAAAACTTTTTCTGCATTTCATTACACGCTAGATCACTTTTAAGAAGATAAAAATCGTGTTTAATAATGGCAGTACGCGATCACACTCTCTGCCAAGGACAAATTTTATGACTTTACGCAGTTCTTTTATTAAAATATTTAATTGAATTTCGAAATATTAGTCGACGACTGATAACGTCACATTCATAGTCTAGACTGCATAGTCATCGATACATATGTTGCGTCTGAACTATAGATACGAATAAGATGCTTGTAGTGTGTTTAGTGCGTGTCAAATTGATGAGATCGTAATGGCGAACTTAAAATGCGTGTAATGTTGGACATTGGCTAAGTATTCTGTATGTTCAAATGCGTATATTTTCCACTACAATGTAGAAAAATTGCTTTTAAAGAATTTAAAAATCATTAAATGCCGTGGTAGCATAATGGTTAGTTCTACGGCCTCTCGAGCAAAGACCGTCTGTTTGAATCCAGGTTGGCTTCTTTGAGTTTTTCAGAAATTACGTGCGGTATTTAATTTGAAATTTTGTCATGAGATTTTCGGTGAAGGAAAATATTGTTCTGCAAGTCGAAGAATGTTCACAATCCTCGGACAAGCAAAGTCCCCAATTGGGCCAGAGTGGCGGACTACGACATGAACCCTTCGCTCGAGAGGAGACCCGTACCCGGCAGAAGGACGTATAAATGGGTTGATGATGATGATGACATTATTGTATATATCATTAAAACAGAGTAGTAAAACTAGCAACACAATAGCCGTGAGTTTACTTAACTAATTAAAAACCCAACTAGGAAATATACATAATTTTATTTAATTAATTAAGTCGGTTGTTGATGTAGCAGAGACCATGCAGAGGGAAAATTACATTTATTTCGTATAAAAATAATTGCGCCAAAAAATCCGAGACCTCGTTGCGGATTCGAATGTAATTCAAGAATACAAACTTTTGTTTTTCGAACGTGCGTTCTTATTTCATAACTTATTTACTCGTTGATATAGGATATGTATAATGTTAACAGAGACAAAATAAGTATTCACAAAATAAGTTAAACGAATAACGATTCGCTGTGCCCGATCAAATACTAGACATATTGCAGATATATTTAGTAGCAATAGAGCTCCATGTGAATATGTTCGTCCAGGGAAGTACTGCCACCTTACCTATTTCTGCTGCCAAGCAGTAACGGAAGCATTGCTTTTCGTTTGTTCCGGGTTTGAAATTACATGCACAATGAAATTGTCAACTTATATCTCAGACGGGCGGGCGCGGTGGCATTGCCCTACAAATCTTTGTTTAAAGCTTTGAGTGGCACTGCAACTGCTGTGGACAGGTATGTGTCCTCACTTATTTATTTCGATATCTTGATAATATCATTAAAAAAAGAAGATATATAAGATAAGTAACGAGGAGAGGACGACATGGTTTATTACGTAATATACTGCTTTTAAGATAATATTTGAACAGAACTTCGATATTTGAAGGAAAGGGGTTGTTGCGATTGCGCGAACTTCATAGCGTTTCGGAGTCAAAAAACTTTATGTTTGTTATGTGTCTGAAGTGCCCGCGGTTGCGTTATAAGCAAAGTCCGTCTCAT